TCTGAACAACAAAAATTCCGAACAGTGTTCCCAAAAATTACGAACAGTGTTCCCAAAAATTACGAACCGTGATCCCTCTGTTTACAGCCACCGGTCACCACTCCAAAGTCGTATTTTAAAGTGAAAATACCAAGAGGGCGTGGCTAGGGCGGTGACTATGGCAGCCACGACAACACTATCAAGACGGGGAGTATATTGTCCCAAGAACCTGGGGAAGGGGGTAGGGGAGAGCCGCCCCCTGCTGGGTGAAAAATGGCGGCCCCGGCGCCCCACCTAGAGAGGGGAGGGGAGCGGACTCTACCCCCCAACACTTTTCAGGACATTGAGTCCGCGTTCGCGGGGATATTGGGGGTGGAGGAGGGGAGGTCCTATAGGATATCGTAGGATATCGGCAGGAGGAAGTGTTCCTCTTAGGATATCGTTGGACGGGCGAGAGGAGGCAGGACGGGCCTCCTAGTTGATATTCGGGGTTTCATAAGTCTGAAAGCATAAACCATTTTGCAACACGTGTCAGCTAAAATATTTTATCGCATTCATTACAACTAACAATATTACGAATATTGAAATAAATGTGTAATATCCCTTACCCTGGCGAATCACTTGGGTTGGACGATAGAATCCCCGACCGTCCACCAAGTGGTTGGGTCCCATTCTTTCCCCCCCCCCTTCCCCGTCCCATCCCTAATCCTTATCCTGATGCCATCCCAGTGCTATATAGTCGTAATGTCTTGGCGTTTTCTCCTGACAATACCCTTCTCTTCATTAACCAGTACAGAACATGTTGTTACCACCACCAGTGCCCCCCCCCCCCCAATGACCAATCAGAGAAGACAAGTTGAATACGTCAGAAGTTCTCACTAACCAATCACAATATATATGCTGTGACGTCACCAGTCACCGGCTAATCAAAGAACAGAATTTTACTGACGTCACCGGTGCCCAATAACCAATCAAAGAATGGAAATGTGATCTATAGAGCGCTCTTGAACACACAGCCTTCCGTTTGGTCAATATCTTCGAGCATGTATTATTATCCAGAGTCTCGCTAATTTTAATCCCATTTAACGTACAAAAGCAATACAAAAATACTAGGCAATTACAAATGTAAATTAAAAAAATATATTTCACGGCGAAAAAAAATAAATAAAAAAAGCAGAGGTCTTTTAAGAACTACAAAAGAAAAAGTAGAAGAGTGTGTCGGTTGCCAGGATTTACACGATTTACAAAAATAGCTTCGTTCTTGTAAAGAAAAGTTGTGAGTCTCGGTCTGTAACTCTAGGTGTGTTTTACTCCAGCTTTGTCTTTGTCACAGGTGCCTCATGCTTACACTCATGATGCTGCACTCACACACACCTCTCTCTCTCTCTCTCTCTCTCTCTCTCTCTCTCTCTCTCTCTCTCTCTCTCTCTCTCTCTCTCCTCTCTCTCTCTCTCTCTCTCTCTCTCTCTCTCTCTCCCTCTCTCTCTCTCTCTCTCTCTCTCGAAGACACAGTCTGCGAGAGAGACTCCTTCACTTATAATTTTTTTTTTACAATTATTTCACAGGAAAAGGGAGAGAGAGATTATTATAGCATACTCTTGCTACATTTATTTTTATGGCAAAAATTCAGCTCTTGGTTCCCCCCTTTCTATTTTCCTGTTTCCTAATGTAATGACTCGCGACTTTTGCGTGTCATGTATGCTCTTAATGAGGTTAGCTTCAATTCCTTCCTCATTTAGCTCATTCCAATTGCTATCATAACTATGGCTCATTTTTTTTTCTCATTTTATCAGTGTCTTTAAAAATCATACATGTCGTGATCATCTCACCTCTTCTCTTTCTGCAAAGCGTGGCGAGGCTTAGTTCCTTTAGTCTCAACACAGCTCAGTCCTCTTGTGGCAAACTTTTGCACTTTTCCTACTTTAGCTAAGGTGTTTTTTAGGTTACGTTTTCGTACCGAGGCTGCATGTTCTAGTATTGGTCTCACATAGGTAGCATGCAGCGTCCAAGTTCCTAAAAGCTACAACAATGCCTTCCAGATTTGCATATGTTGCTGATGTTAGCCTGTTAATGTGTACCTCCAGTGACTAGCTTGGTGTTTTCTCTTCCCAGATTTGTCTTTCCATCATCATATATTTTCCCTGAAGTCTTCACAACCTTGACTCGAACCAAATCACCTTGCATTTACTGGGATTAACTTTCGAGCAACCATTTCTAAGACCCTCTCTCTCTCTCTAGTTTGTAAAGATCCACCTACACCATTCTGAAATCCTACTCTATTCTGGCTCGTCTCATTGGGTTTGCATCGCCTGTAAACATTGCCATGACGGAATATACTTCCACAGTTATATCATTATCATAACAGAAACAGTTTGGGTTTGAGAAGTGATCCCTGCAGTACCCTGCTTGCTACGTGGCTCCATCCCCGATCTCTCTTAATCTCACTACAACACTTTGCTTGCGATTGTATTGGTGTGATCTCAACCAGTGTTTCCAGCTTGTTCTTTCTGTTTATGTTGACTTCTGTGTATAACTGTGTCGAAGGCTTTCTGGCAGTCCAGGAAACTGCAATCAGAAAATTATTTTACCTTTTAGGTAATCACTGACATCTTGTTAAAGAATAGAGATTAAAATGCTTAACTTACATATCCCAAGAAAGACGAAGAGTTGGGGAAACATGATTTAAGTATATATATATATATATATATATATATATATATATATATATATATATATATATATATATATATATATATATATATATATATATAGACATATGTCGTACCTAGTAGCCAGAACGCACTTCTCACCCTACTATGCAAGGCCAGATTTGCCTAATAAGCCAAATTTTCCAGAATTAATATATTTTCTCTAATTTTTTTCTTATGAAATGGTAAAGATACCCATTTAATTATGTATGAGGTCAATTTTTTTTTATTGGAGTTAAAATTAACGTAGATATATGACTGAACCTAACCAACCCTACCTAACCTAACCTAACCTATCTTTATAAGTTAGGTTAGGTTAGGTAGCCGAAAATGTTAGGTTAGGTTAGGTTAGGTAGGTTAGGTAGTCGAAAAAGCATTACTTCATGAAAACTTGGCTTATTAGGCAAATCGGGCCTTGCATAGTAGGCTGAGAAGTGCGTTCTGGCTATTAGGTACGACATATATATATATATATATATATATATCCCTGTATATACCGCGTGTAGGCAAGACCAACCGTCAACATCTCCTCCCTCAGGAGCAAGCCTCTTCTCCTCTTCTTCGTCCACTCCTCCCCTCATTGTGGCGGGTTCTCTGGGTTTTATTTACCCTTCCTTGGCCTCTCTTTTGATGAGGAGCTTTAGGTCTCTTCTCAGGAGATGGGTTACAGCTTCTTCACCCTCTGTTAATGGTTTCTCAAGCTACTACGTGTGTGGTTAATAGTTTCTTACTTCTTAAAGCACGATTTATTGGTTTGAATTCGGAGGAAACTTACTAATTTTGACTAATCTCATGTAGGAATTAGTGGGGTCTAGTTTACTAAGTCACTGATTACTTACAAAGAGTAAGAAGTTACCTTACTCTTGGCATGAGTTACGGGTCTTAATTTCACTCGGGCAGGAGTTACCAGTCTTTGTTATACAAGTAAAACACTGCAAGTTCCTTGTTGCCCAAGTGTTCCTGGGTTTTACTGGTAAGGAGCCTCTGGTGCCCCTAAAGCGGCCAGAACGCTTCCCTTCAGTGCCACGAACAATCTCCTTTCTTCGAGTGACTGACTGGCTGCTATCGCTGCTGTTGTTCCATTTCTGGGTCTATCCCCACGGAGACAAGTCTTCAACACTTTCGCCTCTCCCCCTCTCCAGTTTCCACTCCATCCACTCCGCTCCCGGCGCGGCTGGAGTCAGTCATCCCAGCAAGAGAGCCAACAGTCCGGGTGCTCCTGGCCGGGGGACTGACTATCAAGGGTTTGAGGCGGGGAAGGAGGGGTGTTAATTCGCCTTAATCACAGCGTGGGAGTCCATATTTGCTCCCACCGCGATGTGAGTCTCCTTAATCCACCGCTTGTCATCACCGTGTTGGCTTGGCTCACGCTAATTTGACTTCCACACTCAAGAAGAGGAAAAGTAAAGATTTGCTGTTTCGAGGCGTTTCGTCGGCTAATTCGGAGTGAAGCTTCAAACGACCGCCGGTTGCTTAAGATTCTTCTCTTTTACCCTATTTCCCCTCTCTTCCCCCTCTCTTCCCCTCTCACGTCACTTCCCCTCTCCCCCAACCAACTTGCTCAGCACCGCGTGGGTTTAGCTCCACCTTGGAGGTGTTGAATTGACACGGATTCAGCCGCCTCGCTCCACGGGTTCAAAGACAGTTCAGTGAAAAGCTGCCTGAGAAGCCTTCACTCAAGAGGGTTATACACATACACCGAGAAGTGTACCTCGCTACTGTGTCTACACCCCAGTTTACTTTACACTTTCACAAAGAACGACGAAACAGTAACAGTAAAACAGCTTAGCTAAAGCAGCTACAGTGAACAACAGTGAACAGTGAACAATTAACAATTAACAGTGAACAAAAGCAGAAGAAACAATAGTAGAACAATAACAAGGGGTAAATTTAAACGTTAATATTATCAAAGGAGAACAAATGAACATAAACAAAAGCCGAACATAAAAACAGATAAACATGAAGAATAACAGATTAACATGAACAACAGCAAGACAATCGCAGTGCTCAGAGATACAAAACAACAACAGTATTATCAGTCACAAAAAAATCAGCAAACACAAAGAGCATAGACACATTCACAGCAAGAACACACACACACACACACACACACACAACAAGAACACGTACACACACACACACACACCCACAACCCCCGCAAACACAAATAGGTGAGTACACAACAAGAACACACACAACAAAAACACACACACTCAGCAAGAACAGTGAAGCACACGAAACAATGACAGGCGGGAAGAACAGTAATATTTAGTGGAGTATTTCACAGTGCCGGCGGCAGCTTTCCCAAAGGATTTAAAATGGAGATTTACGACTGACTTCAGCGAGATCCACCAAAGTGGAGCCCTGGCACTCGCGGCCCTGACACTCGCTGCCCTGGCACTCCCAACCCTGGCACTCGCTGCCCTGGCACTCCCAACCCTGGCACTCGCGGCTCTGGCACTCCCAACCCTGGCACTCGCTGCCCTGGCACTCCCAACCCTGGCACTCGCTGCCCTGGCACTCCCAACCCTGGCACTCGCGGCCCTGACACTCGCGGCCCTGGCACTCCCAACCCTGGCACTCGCTGCCCTGGCACTCCCAACCCTGGCACTCGCGGCCCTGACACTCGCGGCCCTGGCACTCCCAACCCTGGCACTCGCTGCCCTGGCACTCCCAACCCTGGCACTCGCGGCCCTGGCACTCGCGGCCCTGGCACTCGCTGCCCTGGCACTCCCAACCCTGGCACTCGCGGCTCTGGCACTCGCGGCCCTGGCACTCGCGGCCCTGGCACTCGCGGCCCTGGCACTCGCGGCCCTGACCTTCACAACCGTAATACAGCGATGATTCTTACAACCCTAACACATCGCCCTAATACGATAATAACACTAACAATACAATTACACACAGAGATCACACTAACGTGATACATCAAATGAATAAATCCACAAGGGCCGTGACGAGGATTCGAACCTGCGTCCGGGAGCATCCCAGACACTGCCTTAATCGACTGAGCTACGACAGGGTTAAAAAGGGTTGAAACCGAAGTTCTACTGAACTTACTGGATCCCGTAGCCTCTCCGAGGCACAAATCTTTTAACCCTGTCGTAACTCAGTTGATTAAGGCAGTGTCTGGGATGCTCCCGGACGCAGGTTCGAATCCTCGTCACGGCCCTTTTGGATTTGTTCACTAACAATACAATATCATTCCGCCCTTGGGGCAGAATGACTCCCTAAGCCCTGGCAAGTCATTCCCAAGCCCTTACACACTCTCCAAAGCCCTGAAGTATTTCCCCATGCTCTCATGCACTATCCAAGCCCTTACACACCGCCCGAAAGCCCTGATACACCGCCCCAAAGCCCTGATACACCGCCCCAAAGCCCTGATACACCGCCCCAAAGCCCTGATACACCGCCCCAAAGCCCTGATACACCGCCCCAAAGCCCTGATACACCGCCCCAAAGCCCTGAATACACCGCCCCAAAGCCCTGAATACACCGCCCCAAAGCCCTGACACACCGCCCCTAAGCCCTGATACACCGCCCCAAAGCCCTGATACACCGCCCCGCCCCAAAGCCCTGATACACCGCCCCAAAGCCCTGATACACACCGCCCCAAAGCCCTGATACACCGCCCCAAAGCCCTGATACACCGCCCCAAAGCCCTGATACACCGCCCCAAAGCCCTGATACACCGCCCCAAAGCCCTGATACACCGCCCCAAAGCCCTGATACACCGCCCCAAAGCCCTGAAACACCGCCCCAAAGCCCTGAAACACCGCCCCAAAGCCCTGATACACCGCCCCAAAGCCCTGATACACCGCCCAAAGCCCTGATACACCGCCCCAAAGCCCTGATACACCGCCCCAAAGCCCTGATACACCGCCCCAAAGCCCTGATACACAGTCCGTCTTATACAGCCAGAAGTTGAGTTGGAAAACTGGCAGAATCAATGATCATTACTCTGAATTACATCTTCCAGACGGGGGGTAAGATTTACCAAAATTCAGGAAGCATCCACTCTCTTCCTTCACGGTGTGGAGATGAGGAAGAAGAGGAGGGGGAAGAGAAGGAAGAGGAGAGGGGGAAGGAGGACGAGGTGGTAGAATTGGAGCAGGAGCAACTATGAGGATTAAGAGAACGATGAGTAGAATGAAGAATATCAGAAATATGTGGAGGATGAGGATCATTAGGATGAGGACGAAAGGGTAAGGATGACGTACAAAACGATAATGATAGATGATAGTAAATATAATGATGACAGATGGTGATAATGATGATGAAACAGGAGAAAGAAACAGCGAAAACACAAATAATTAGATAGGATGAAGGTGCAGATTACTCTCCCAGCTGAGATGCTTCTCGTTTTCCCAGAGTCTGAGTCTGTATACAGCTGTCCTAGACTATATGAAGGGTTACACTGTGTGTGTCAAGAGCCAGCTGTGTCATACTAAGGTACCTGGTCATATATACAGCTGCCCTAGACTATACGAAGCGTTACACAGTGTGTGTCAAGAGCCAGCTGTGTCACACTAAGGTACCTGGTCACATATACAGCTGCCCTAGACTATATGAAGCGTTACACAGTGTGTGTCAAGAGCCAGCTGTGTCATACTAAGGTACCTGGTCACATATACAGCTGCCCTAGACTATATGAAGGGTTACACAGTGTGTGTCAAGAGCCAGCTGTGTCATACTAAGGTACCTGGTCACATATACAGCTGCCCTAGACTATATGAAGGGTTACACAGTGTGTGTCAAGAGCCAGCTGTGTCACACTAAGGTACCTGGTCATATATACAGCTGCCCTAGACTATATGAAGCGTTACACAGTGTGTGTCAAGAACTAGCAGCTTTATGAAGCTAAAACTTTCCCATCACACAGGATATCTAGACTAACGCCTGGGTGCCTATTTACTACAAGGTGAACAAAGGCATTACACGAAAGCAAACGCGTCCCAACCATTTCTCTCCCGGCCTGGTTTCGAACCCGCAATTCCCGATTACGAGTCGAGAGCTAACTCGGCTGTACCACCGGGACTAAAAGGATCAAGAGGAAGGGAGGGTCACTAGAGGAATCTTTACCTATCCCTCTATACCTGGAGTGGGTTTGGGGAGTTCTTCTTCTCCAAGAGCTCGCTCTTGGAGAAGGCTCGACTTTAATAGGGAGGGGGGTCTTTAAGAGGGGGAGAGAGAGGGGGGGGGTCCTTTTGGAGAAGGGGGTTTTGGAGAAGGGGGGTCTTTTGGAGAAAGGGGGTGAAGGGGGTTGGGGTTAAAAGAGAGGGAAGGGGGGTGGTGTTGAAAGCCAAAGCCGTTGTCCTCAGAGCTGCTAACACGCCTAGTTCTCGGGACCAGGAAATTGCGACTTTAAATCCGGTGATGGGAGAGGGAGAATGAGGGAGTTCTTTAGAGGAGAAGGAGGGAATGGGAGGAAGTGAGAGATGAGGGAAGAGGAGTAGGGTGAGAGGCACGTGGGAAAGGAAGAGGGAGGGAGATGAAAATGTTTGAGGATAGTGTGTAAAAAAAGACCAAAATCTAGTTATGGGATGAAATACTAGTGTGAGTTAACAGAGACGGAAGGCACAGATAGTGAGACGGGAGGGACAGATAGTGAGAGGGAAGGGAAAAGGGACAGAAGAGAAGGGAACTATCGGGAGAAAGCGCCAAGCCATTACGACTATAAGGAAGAAATCAGGATAAGAATTTAGGATGGGACGAGGTGGAGGGGGGGGGGGGGGGAGGAATGGTGCCCAACCACTTGGTGGACGGTCGGGGGATTGAACGCCGACCTGCATGAAGCGAGACCGTCGCTCTACCGTCCAGCCCAAATGGTTCGGCTGAACAGTAGTGAGTGACAGAGAGGAGACGGGAACGGACAGAGGAGAGAGGAAGTAGGAGATAAGACAGAGAGAGAATGGGGATGGTGAAATTATATATATATATATATATATATATATATATATATATATATATATATATATATATATATATATATATATATATATATATATATATATATATATAGTAGCCAGAACTCACTTCTCAGCCTACTATTCAAGGCCCGATTTGCCTAATAAGCCAAGTTTTCCTGAATTAATATATTTACTATAATTTTTTTCTTATGAAATGATAAAGCAACCCTTTTCTCTATGTATGAGGTCAATTTTTTTTATTGGAGTTAAAATTAACGTAGATATATGACCGAACCTAACCAACCCTACCTAACCTAACCTAACCTATATTTATAGGTAAGGTTAGGTTAGGTAGCCAAAAAAGCTAGGTTAGGTTAGGTTAGGTAGGTTAGGTAGACGAAAAAACATTAATTCATGAAAACTTGGCTTATTAGGCAAATCGGGCCTTGAATAGTAGGCTGAGAAGTGCGTTCTGGCTATTAGGTACGACATATATATATATATATATATATATATATATATATATATATATATGTCGTACCTAGTAGCCAGAACTCACTTCTCAGCCTACTATGCAAGGCCCGATTTGCCTAATAAGCCAAGTTTTCATGAATTAATTGTTTTTCGACTACCTAACCTACCTAACCTAACCTAACATAACTTTTTCGGCTACATAACCCAACCTAACCTATAGAGATAGGTTAGGTTAGGTTAGGTAGGGTTGGTTAGGTTCGGTCATATATCTACGTTAATTTTAACTCAATGAACAAAAATTGACCTCATACATTATGAAATGGGTAGCTTTATCATTTCATAAGAAAAAACTTAGAGAAAATATATTAATTCAGGAAAACTTGGCTTGTTAGGCAAATCGGGCCATGCATAGTAGGCTGAGAAGTGAGTTCTGGCTACTAGGTACGACATATATATATATATATATATATATATATATATATATATGTCGTACCTAGTAGCCAGAACTCACTTCTCAGCCTACTATTCAAGGCCCGATTTGCCTAATAAGCCAAGTTTTCCTGAATTAATATATTTACTATAATTTTTTTCTTATGAAATGATAAAGCAACCCTTTTCTCTATGTATGAGGTCAATTTTTTTTTATTGGAGTTAAAATTAACGTAGATATATGACCGAACCTAACCAACCCTACCTAACCTAACCTAACCTATATTTATAGGTAAGGTTAGGTTAGGTAGCCAAAAAAAGCTAGGTTAGGTTAGGTTAGGTAGGTTAGGTAGACGAAAAAACATTAATTCATGAAAACTTGGCTTATAGGTAAATCGGGCCTTGAATAGTAGGCTGAGAAGTGCGTTCTGGCTATTAGGTACGACATATATATATATATATATATATATATATATTTACATAAATCGTGTTTACAGTTACTAATGCTTGATTCGAGTGATTGCTGTACGTTTCCGTACGCATGGGTTCGGAATTACGCACGAGTGGGCCTGAATGTACTAAATTTTTAATATATATATACGTAATTTATAAATTAATTCATCCATCAAATTCTGGCTGTGTTTATTCAAAGATTAATTTAATTAAGTCAAAGCTTTATACGGCACTTGTTTGTGGCATACACGGGCAGGTAATTTCATTTGCTAGTTTGATGATGTGTTGAAATCATCAAATATATATTCATCAACCACACAACAAATTATGTATTTGCCTTTTTTTTTTTTTTTTGCTTTCTATTTTTATCAGGACCAATTACAAGTAAATTATTGTATCGGACATATACATACAGTTCTCTTTGAAGCTTTGTAGGCTGTCTACACGAGCAGCCAGTTGGTTATACATAGTTGGTTATACATAGTTGGTTACACTCAATTACGACCATTCGAGCTAACCAATCAACCAAATAATTAATGTACTGGAGGGATATACTCTCCTAACATATGATAGACCTGAGAGCCACGTGGTATACCGCCTTCCATAGCGTCAACGGGAAATAGGTTATACCCTGGTTCAATTTTCTATGTGGTGTCTATTGCTGCATCTGTGACCTTTTTAATTTTGATTTTTCAATTGCATTTCAAGCGTGACAAACGTCTCATCAAGTACATATATCTCTATGATGGATAATTTCCCCACGAAACTCTAAAAAATATTCCTATTCCTGACGCACTGATGACCAGTTTTGTTGACCAGACCACACACTAGAAGGTGAAGAGACGACGATGTTTCGGTCCGTCCTGGACCATTCTCAAGTAGATTGTCTTGGCTGGACCAGGACGGTCCAGGACGGACCGAAACGTCGTCGTTCCTTCACCTTTGAGTGTGTGGTCTGGTCAACGTACTTCAGCCACGTTATTGTGACTCATCGCCTGCATATGCAACCCGTTCTCGCAAATTTAATAAG